ACCAACTACAGCAATGTCCAATATGCAACTTCCAATGAAAAACAGCTTTCAAGGCTGACGTGTATTAGATTCCAATTCCAAAATCACTATATAGATACATATATACACCTCAGCAGGAAGTTTGACCACAGAAATGACAGCTTCCCAAACAATGTATTTCCAAGAAATCTTTCTATATCCCAAGTAAAAATTCACACATTGTTTGCCATTTTCTAGAATGCATCAATAAAAGCTAAAACCTCACAAAAGACCTCATGTGCTACGGTGATATCTCTTGTCAAGAGATATAGTGGCCTAACCCAAGAAAATATTATCTACTTTTTTACATTGTCTTAAGCTTACTTGCACCTTTATTTTCATTACAGCTGTAACCAAACATCACAAAGCTTAAAAAGACCAGCTGCTCGTGGAAAAAGAATTTTTAATCTCCTTAAAAGAAAGTTCAACTAAAAAAAGGAAGATGTATAGAAGGCAATATCAAGAAAGTATAATAAACAGAAATAAATAAAATAATAAAAGGAATAAATGTATTTATTGTAGTATTATTACAAGTCTGAATTCACATTAATAAATTAATCATTTGATAAATCAGATTAGCATTTTAAACCTTACTATAGAATCATTTTGAGAAGTGAATTATTTAAACAATTAAGGTAATTAACACTAAATTACTTGTAAATAACTACTGAAAGAAATTAATAACTGAACTAAATAATTCTACTTTAGCAAGTAGTTCATTTTCTCTAAGAAGTAGAGCATATTTCACTGAGTACCAATGTTTCAGAAGTCAGAAAGCATTCTGCCCAGTCTCAAAAATTAATTCAGAACTGCCCTTGCCCAAGTTACAGTCACAAAGGAGAAAAAATATAACAAAGAACAACAACAAAAATCTTACAAAAGTTCAAAAATTGCCCAGAAGAAGAGAAAAATATAACTATTTTATACTCCAGCTAAAATTCTGGCCATGTGTCAAACTGATTCATTCCAGTGAGATCCAGATTTCATCCCAAGAGCAATTAAATTCTCAGCAAAGCAGTTAAAACCCATCTGTCTCCTCAAGCCAGATTTCAATTATTATTCCATAATCCTATGCCCTTATAATTACATTGATGTTCACTCTGCACCTACCCAAAAATACTGGCTTTATTTAGTTCAGGAAAAATGAACACAGCAAAGATTCACATTGCTACTGGAGCCTACAAGAAAAAGAGCCAATCTGACAGTCCAGGGAACACTCTGAAAGCTTCCTGTCCAAACAAAATTGCTTGAAAAGAAATTTAAAAACCCCAAATCACATCACAAGAACTTCTCTCAAGAGTATTACAGAGAGAAGCCAAAAGCCAAAACTATTGGAATGCTTTCAGTTTAAACTTTTACTTCTTGCAGACTTTGAGCAATAGAATATTGTAGCATCTTTAAAACAAGCAGATACCTCAGAACAAGAACTGCTGTACTTCCTATCATTCTCAATGTAAATAAGGACTTGCACTTGCCAAAAACATTCAAAGCTTCACTCTGAACAAACACATATTAAAGCTTCTGTTTCTCATGCATCTCCTTAATGTGCTGGAGATGAGAAAACACCTCAAACCTTGCGACAGCAAGAGAGGCAAGCAGAGGAGCTCTGAGACTGTTTCAGGCTACATCGCTTACACTTATGGTAACCAGTATTTTCAGATAAAAATTACTGGTAACAAAAACCTAGCAAGACTCAACTACAACCAGGAGTTGTATCTTGCACTGCTGAGCAGCTTTTGGCCATGAAGCACTAAAGCAACTAGGCATGGCAGGCAGTGACTAAAACCCAGGACAGGAGCAAACAGTACAGCTAAAATCAAGTGAGAGCACCTATAGATAAATACTGCCCTTCCTGCTGAGTTACAGAGCCATCAACTGCTCTGCTAAGCACCAGTCTGCTCACACAGAACTGAACTTGGTGCTGAGCAGCAAAGTCCAGCTGTTGAAAAGACTATAAAGAGCACCAACAAAATCACTGCTTAGAAATTTGAAAGCAGTCCAGCATTAAGAAAGTTATCCAAGTGATTTGTTGACTTCAAAAGCAGAAATCAAACAACAACAGGGATAGTGGAATTATGCAATTAGACAATAAAGATATTTTCATCCTTACACAAACCCCACACATTCCTACCAAGCTCTAAGTCCTCCCTGTGATTTTATTTAAATCGGTATGACTCTTAAACCTCCAACACTGGATTACATATTTTCTCCACGGCTGTTTGCTCAGCTAGTAAAGAACAAGAGGACTATACTAAAAGAGGCCAAATTTTCTTTTATTCTTCGTCCTCATGTCTTTAAAACCAAGATGTACTGAGAATAGCAAAGAGATTGTTTTTTCTGCTCCCCAAAAAAGAACTATGAGCTTCAGAGGCCAGCAAGTTCCTGCTGTTACCTTCCTATGCTGGTTCTCACTTCAGAAGCCCAGTTAAAAACCCCTTTACAAAAGCTGCCCTTCCAAAGATGATCTGAACACTCCTAAACTAAGATCACCCAATGGCAGCTGCACTGCCATCTACAGAAAAGCTTAGGAAAAGCATTTACCATTTAGTATTTGCTGCTACTAAGAAGGATACAGCTTAAAAGACTACCAAAACAAGAGCAGGATGGATATGAAGAAGAAAAAGGGCAACTGTGCAGTAAACATGACCAATTACTCAGCACATAGCTCCCTGAATTGTCACTCGGACACATTGCTTCTACTCACCCCAGCCTGGTGCCACAGGAACTCCAGAACTACTGCTTTGGTGACTGCCCTGGAAATACTAAATCCAAGGGGCAGGCAGGCTGGCATTAGCCCAAGCACTCCAAATTCTTAAATCTGACTCTCATCAATTGGATTTTGACACACAGATATGAACTGCTTTTAACTCACCACACTGGAGGATAGAAACTGCATAATTTGATCACGTATCTCCCAGCAATCAAAACATCTGACGTGTTGACTAATCACAATAATTATTCTCAATGCCTTCATTTTTTGTCTTTATACTCCCTACTTGCAGAGAAAATGAAAAACATGGAACAAAAGCTTACAGTAACCTACTCGAAAGCAGTTTTTGAGAAAGAATGAAAAACTGCGTCAGAAATCATTCTGCATCTTCAGATTAGAAAAGATCACTGTTTAATCTTCAGGCTAAAGAAATCAAATATATGATAATTTCTACCAAAATCAACAGGTACAGGGAAAAAAAAACAAACTACTAAGAGGCAATTCAACACTTCAGAGCTACATTTTTCTCTCTCAAAACACACTTCTGCTTTGCAAAAATAAAACATGCCTTTGATGCTTTTCTCATTCAGATAAATGTCACAGTACAGTAAGCACTGAAATTCAGGAAAAGTAGTAACAGAATAAAAAAATCAAAATGGGTAGAAACATGTGATCTTCTAGATTCAACATCAAGTCTTAAAATCTGCTTTCTCCATGCCCTCAAAAACTAGTAAATACATTCTTCCATTCTTAAGCCCTCTCTAAAAACTCTTTACTTTCAATAAACAAATAAATAATCCAAAATAGTGAACAAGAATATCAAAGGCTTCTAATGTACCTCTGCTCCACATCAGTTTACAACAGCTTCTGTCAATCAGCACATTGATTCAAAAGGAACTCATACCCACGCACAAATTAATTCATAGGGGCTACATGTATCAAAACCTAGATATATGCTCCAAAAGCACAGTAAAAAAAGTGTCTTCCATTTGTTTGTTACTTTTCAGAGTATGCATCAAAATACCTATTTTTAAAACTTATCAAGGACAACATTTAAAAACGTCCCTCTTTTCTTAGCATGTGCACCCCTGTGTCTAGAGACAAGGGTGCTTGTTTTTGCAGTGGCCTCCATGAAGCTTGGGTTTTCCCTATAAACACCAATAAAGCTACAAAACTCATACTACAAAAAATCTCTAACAGCTTTTCCAAGCTGATCATAAATGCCTCAAAAAGTTAATAATCACTGTTAAACTCTTTCAAGCACTAGATCCCAACGTAATAATATAAGATGGAGAGCAAACAATACCACAAGCAGCTGAAAATATATCAGGAATTCATATTCAGTTACATATAAATAATATAATTACCTATCTGTGCTCAAGTCTGAAAGTGGTATCTACATTACTAAATTGACAGTAGTGACACAGTACCTAACACACCTGAAACACACAAAGCATGGCACATTGATTAAACCAAATTGGTTTTCTCAAACATTCTGATTGTTAGCATCATGTTAATAAAATCCAAGCTGCTTGATTCAGAAGTCTGTGCAGACAAAGGAGTACAAACAGGACAGACAGAATTTCCTTCAGGCCCACTAGAAGTCCAAGGTTGACTTCCTGATCTCAGATGGAGGATCACACAACAGCAACGACACTCCATCCACTCTCCTCATATTTAATGATGCACATCAGTTTGAGTTTAGCAGCAAGAAAAAGGTTGTGCTGCATTTGTGCATCCCACTGGAGATGCACAAAGAGCCCTGCTACAGTGAGCTACAGCCAGGTCTCTACCTCAAAGATGCTATGATTGCATGAAAAGAGAACTCAAATATCTGCTTCATCTCACAAGGGCCCTATGAGCACACAGTAGAGAACAACAAATGCAAGAAGCCACAGAGGCAATAGCTATTTTCTGGCTTTTTCACTCCTATGTTTAGAGATTAGTAGGAGGTATTGAACCTATCCTTTGCAGAATTCAAATTTCTTTATTCCTTGTGAGAACTGCTATGAGGTTGCATAAGGAAGGACCTGTTTTCTCCTGACTTTAGACTAAGGAAAGAAAAAAAATGTGTGCAAACAGCCTGATCAAGGTCACCTGCCCACAAACAGGAGCTCCTAAACAAGAAGTTTCACAAAGCAATCAACTACAGGGGAAAGAGGAAACACAAAAAAAATTTTAAAGCACTAATATTAATAAACATACTTAATAAGCAACAAACTCAACACATTGTAATAATGCAAGTTATGAATGCAGATATGCGGATACATACTATGCTGTTCATTTCTGAAGAGTCGTAACTTCCACACGGATGGACACTTCCTATAGGTTCCAGTCCTTCTTCATCCCACATGTATGTGCCATCAGAGCTGTCAGATGGAGAAAGCTCAAAGGAGGAGCCAGCTCTGTAGTTCATCTCTGAAGAGATGACATTCTCAGTAGTGTGTTTTGTGCTTTCACTGTTGTCATCCACTGCTTAAAGAGAAAAGCATCAGTTAAGATTAGAAAAACAATCCAATATTTAAAAAAAACAAATATTAAAATGCCTGTTACTGGTGTGCTACCTTTGCTGGAACTGTACTGTAACAGAAACACCTGAAAGCTTTCTACAGTATTGTTCCCTCATCCCAGAAGGGAGAAAAGCTCAAGCTGTTTTGGCAGCTACAACCAAGGAATCTTCCAACCTACATCTTTGCTAACCTTTTACACTGCTCTAATTCACCCACCATGGAAGCTACTTTCTAGAAATATGTATCTCTTTAACATATTAGAAGGTGGGTTCAAAAATATATCCTTTGGATCTAGTCTTTCAATTGCAACATCTCAAACAAGCTTTTGTCATGAGAAGCCCATCAAAGATTTGAAAATGTGGCTTTTAAAAGCAGCTTCTTGTGTCTTCAACTCATTTTTAGAAAATTAATATACAACAGAAAAAAACAAAAAAGACCCAGTAACAATCCTGTTTATAACTGAACTAATTCAACTACACATCCTACACTTATTTTCATTACTTAGAACCAGTTACAGCTGTTCCCTGCCTACAGAGGTAGGAGCACGAGGTGAAATTTTCTTAAAATATCATCAACCCAGAAAATGAATGGCAAAGCAAGGATATGAGGAATTCCACAACCACAACACAAATGTGTTTAAAGGAGGTCACCTTCATTTTTATCACAAAGAGCTCTTCAAAGTAATGCTTGGGGAAAAATTGTAATGCAGAAAAGGCACAAGCAAACAAATATGCCAGCACAGAGCAGTTCCATTCTGAAACAAATCAATGGTCAATTACATTAAATAATTTAATTACCATTACAGAATTTTGATTTAGCACCTAAAATTTCAAACAGAACATAAAAAAGGTATTTACCAGACACATTTATATCAAGCCAGTCATCAGCATTACAGCAAGATCCTCCACCTCCCTTGAGAGATGTGAACGGCTCGATGGATGTTCTGCTCCCATGCTCTAATTCCTGAAGGCAGCTCTCCTTCTGCTGGATTTGTACAGTTCTGTTTGCCTCTTCTATATCTATGAAATCGTCACTGAAGTCTTCACTCAAATCGTTTTTCTCAGAGGATGACAAAGAAGATATAGATATTTCATCTCCATCATCGCTCATACACATCACTTTTGACCCATGTTTTCCCAGACTTTCATGCAAGGCCTCACCAGGTTCTGTTCTTTGAGCCCTGCTCTCTAGAATACTGTTTTTATCAACGGCTCTATTGATGCTCGCTGAAATCTCCGCGCTCTCCACCATGCGCGTGTCCGGAGCCACGCTTTTGCTGCCATCCATAACGGTATTCCCAGCAAACCTCTGCCTGGTAGGCTTCAGCAGAGAAGGCCGACTTAATCTGTATCCATAGGAAGGTGCTGACCCAGATCCATTTGACAGTGGGGGTTTCTTGGAACAAGGAGCTGACATAGCCGAGTACGGTCTGGTAAATCCATACTTCATCGGCTCATTTCCATTGGGTACATCCAACTGACACGCGTTTCTTGACAGCAGAGCAGACCTCTGAGACGTCCTGGCAGTGAGATTTTGACTGTGATAAGGCCTTGTAAGATCCACAGCTTTATTAAAGGAATGTGACCTGGTTAGAGATGCAGTGGGAAGGAAAGAATTCTGAATGGAATGTGAAAAACTTTGTGATCTTACCATTTTGTCACAGGAAAAAGCCTTGATAGCATTGTCTGTAGACTGTGCCAGGGTTTCTCCCAAACTTGTCCTTGTGGCACCAGAATTAGCTCTAGGTCTCTGCAAACCTACCACTGGCCGATTTCCATAAAATCCATTTAAATTTGATCTTGGAGTATTAAGTCCAGAATATGTCCTTCCTGACAGGGTACCTTTGGTGAATTTAGCTGAACTAGAGAGTCCAGGTATAGACTTTGGATTTAATTCCTCAGTAGAAGATACAAACATATTGGTTTGCTTTGCTGCTTTTGACGCAACTGAAGCAGTACTGTTCAAACCCAGCCTGAGCTCATCATTGCCCAATGCTCCTTGAGACTGAGGGTACTTCTCAGGATCAATTAATTTTTCATTAGAGTTGCGTTTGGCATTGGCCTCTCTCCCATTCTGATCATTAAGCTGATATTTATTTGATTTTTTCCAGTTGAAAGCAAAGGAAGACATTCCAACAGTGCCATTGTGCTTGCTGAAGTTTTTGCCACCGTTACTCCCTGCTAAGTTCACAACCGTCCCGTTTGGCATAGGTTGCAAAACAGTCCCTAAAGTTTTCGTTCCATATTTCGGTAGCCTGGAAACCAAGGATGTCCTGTTTTGATTTTTTTCTTCCATGAGCTATTGGGTACATTGGTCCTTAAAGGGTGCTTGAATCTAAGAAAGAAAAACAAAACAATATTAAACCTGAGTAAACCACACATTAAGCACAGATTTCTATATATCTCTAACTATATGCTTCCTAGATTTCTGTGCATTACTCCACCATGCTGATAAAAAGTAACCCAGAAACATCTTGTGAACTCCAGAGTTCCAGCAATTATCTGGCAGTAATATGTTCTTCAGATAACAGCTCCCCCTCCCAACTTTCATTCTCTACTAAAACCATTTTTTTTTGTTTTCCCTTTGTAATCTATAAAATAAACTTGAGAAGAGGTTGGATTTTTTTTTGTTCTTTTTTTTTTTTTCCATTTACCTATTTTCAGCAACAACTGAACTTTCCAACTGTTACAATTATTGAGTTATAAACTTAAGATTTAGTATTTTTAAAACAGCCACAAATATGACACAGCAAAAACCTGTGGTCAGCAACACAAACCTGCAAAAAATGATAACGTAAAATCTGACTAAAAGCTAATTTTTTGAGATTGTTTTCATTTCCCCAATGCCTAAAATATAGAAAATAACCACTCATCATGCATCTCATCACAATACTTTTTCTTCCCAAATGTTATGGATCTTCCCAAATTAAGATTCACATTCCTAGTCATTGTTTTCTCATTGCATGGAGACTGTAGTCTATTTTAGAAATCATCTTATTCACACATAAAACCTGAAGTACAGTGCAACAGTTGCATAAGGTCAGTGTTAGTAAGCTAATTCAGAAGTTCTACTTATTCAAAGTACACAGAACACCTTGTGTAACCACAGCAAGCATTACCCTCTAGTGAGTCACTCTCCAGAGTGAGGTCAAGAGGTCACTAAGAAACATTTACATTCTTAGTGATATAACTGAAGATAAAATCAAGGATAAGATCGAAGTGGCATTAAATTCATGCAAACTGAAATGCCCTTAGGATTTGTCAGTGAATAGGATGCCCCGGAGCAGTACTTCTGGAAGCATATCTACATTACAAAGATAGAAAGGTACTGCAGAGAGGGCATTTAGAGGCTCCTAACTTGTGAAAACATCAGAATCCACATTCTGCAACTGGTGCGTGCATTTCCATTGTGAAAGACACAAATGTGATTTTTCAAAGACTCGCTGAATTCTTGCACACCAGAGATGCTGCCCTCACCCAGGTGTGCAAAGAAGGACAAAAGTACTTCCCCCGGGACCACAGAACATTTCATTTGCCATGTATGACATCTGTCTGCACGTGGATGGAAGTGTCTAATGTCAGACTTCCTGCCTAGAGTGGATCTGTATACCTTGCACAGGAAAATAATATCATCAGGCAACATCAAAGATCTTTATTTCATGTCAACTACATAAAATAAAGCTTTTCTTTAAAAACTCCATGAACAAAAAATGGCCTTTAATATGCTGATGAGTTAATTCCCAGCAAGCATCATAGTTCAGATCCCTCAGAAGTTAACCTAACTCTAAAGAAAAGGCAAGTCTTGTGAAGAAATCTTCCAAATTGAAAAAGTTAAATTAGAAAGCTGCTAATTTAACTTGCATGCTCTATGGATAATTCCCTTTTCACATCTGTCTACCATCTCTTAGGTGACTGCAAAATTTAAATGAGGCCATTTAATTAGATTACTTTAATCCTCCACCAAGTGCTTCACATTAAACTTGAAAAGGAGACCTTTCCAGTTCTCTAGAAAGGGCTCTTGCTCATTTATCCTTGATTAGGCAAAGACAACACATTATCTTCAACAAAACCATACTGATAGCCCAGAACACTTCAGATAATTAAATTAAAAACAAACAATACTTCTCTGTATTTTATTAGCTATGCAACTTGAACTACTGTACAACTTCTTCAAGCCCAGGTTTCACTTGTTTCACTGACACTCAGTGTCATCAAAAAACCCACTAAAACTTAACAGCATCATGTCTGGCAGACGTTTCCCAGAAAATGGGGAATTTTCTTATTAAGTTCTCTAAACTTCCTTAATCTTTAGCTATGCTTACTAGGAAAGATTACACTAGCCTAACAATTAAATTTCCTTATCAAGCAGCACTGTTACTACTTAGAGCATGATTTCTGCATCCCAGAAGATTCAAGTTCAATACAATTTAAATTGTAGCTACTGTACTATAAAGAAATTCAAAGTATTTTTAGACTTAAGCAATCTATGGATTTTTTAAAAATTGCCATTTGGGCAAACAAGTTTTATATTCTTTGCCTTGGGAAATACATTATCTAGTGCACACAAGCCTAATCGGAATTAAGCTAATTATAAAGAGCCTAGCCTTACATAATGATCCAGGGAAAAGGAGTTAAAATCCACAGACCCCCTCTGAAGTATAATCTGAATTAACTGAAAAGCTGCTACATCCTTACCTTCAAGGATATTCAAGATCCTGGTGATAAGCAAAAGGATATTCATTCTGACCCTCCTTGGTACTTCCTCTACAGAATTATTTACACTTTGATAAAATCCTGCACTGTTAGTTTCTACTGGCAAGCACAACATTCACTCTAATTTCATTCACAGTTTGTTTCAGCACCACCAGGAAGGCAGTTTCCTATACTTTAGCTTCTCAGCTAAGTTCTGCTTTGCATCTGAGACTCTGCCCTACAGAAGACAGCTTAAAGATTCCCACATTTGAAAGCTTAAGCATCTTAAAATACTGCAATCCCTACAATCCCTGCCACTAGAAGATATCAGCATTTTCCAGTTCCAGATTCCTGAATGGGACTGAATTCCCCTCCTGTTGTCACAGCAGTGTGGAATACCCAGCTGAGGAATGGAACATATCCAACAGACTGGTGACAGGCCAGAGCAATTCCCCTCTGCAGACCTACTGCCCTGGCAGCAGTTTCAGATCTGTGCTTCATTCACAGAAATTTCAGTGCACGTGTATTTCCATTGTGTCCTGTGCACAGCTTAAAAAGCCACCTCTTATACCTCTGGGTTATTAAAAACACATTAGATCAGTTATGTGAAAATACCTTATTTCCACCAACCTAGGGAGGTACTGAATGTCAACAGGGAAAATCTGTGAGGTCCCTGCAACAGAAACAGCAAAGGCTTCCTTAGCACTCGCTTAAGACCATTGCAAGATGGGCAGCATGACTGCAAGTCAATTTTCAGCTTTAAGATGACCATGGGAGCTTAATAGAATGGAAGAAACTGGCAGGAGATCCAGCTGGCAAACACCTGCTCTGCACATGACAAGCCCTGGGGAATTCAAGATCATGAATCCTGAGGAAATCATGCATGCTGTATGAATTAAAATGAATCAGAATGCAACCGGAACTTCTGATGGCTTCAAGATTGAACTTTGAGTATTTACAACTTCTTGTGTTATTTTGTGGTTTCAGTGCAGTCAAAAGTGCCATGTTCACTCCAAGATCCAGTAAGATTTATCAGCTCTGCAGTAAAACCCTCCAAGGCTGCCTTCCTTATCCTTTCATTTCTCCAAAACACCTGTTCTTGAATCAATTCCCAATGCTTTATGAAGGCATCCCTGAATTTTAGCCACTCTCCCTTTCCTATGTCCAAATATAACACCAGCTTCCCTGACACTGTCTTCTGAAGGTACCATAGTCAGGAAGCATAGCAAGAAGTTCCAAGACTGCAAAGGCTTCTCTTAAATTACCTTGCCTTTCTGTGTCCCAGTTGGTAAGATTTTGTTTTCAGGTCTCAAGACAGCTTAGAGATACGCCCTTTTCTGTTTTTTCTCCCTCAGACTAACAAGGTTCTACCCACTTTGAATGGCTGATCCAGCAAACACCAAACAACCAGGTATCCAAGCTGCTCTTGTGCTCAATTTACTGCCAAAATACACTGGGTCAAAGAACAGGAGCAGAACATGATAATGAAAAAAGGGAGAAGAGAACAAGAAATACAGCATAAGAGTTTCAGTACTTCTTACACTGAGCAGTATCTTTAGTCAATACAGCAGAAAATGTGACATCCTTTGTCATCTCTAAAAGCATTCTTGCTATTCATCAGAATCCTTAATGTTTGATAAGCCAAGAGGACATAAGCACTTTCTGAAGAGAAAGAAAGCAGCTCTATTTGCAGAAGAAAGCTACCACAATACTTCCAGAATCAAAAACTCCCTCTGCATCGCTCAGCGCCACACTGTCAGTTCACTCTGCCATTAATGCTGTTTACATGGAGCACCAAACACTTCAAGGAAGCAAAAAAGGGCTAAGTGTTATCTGCCCAGATAAGGATATTTTGTAACTGTTGCCCACTTGTGCTTTTCATATTAGTCAAACAGTAACTATGCCTTTTAAACTCCAAATTTTTACATCAAACCTAACCAAAACAGGGTATGAGTTACCATAAGCCCCTTTAGATTTTATTGAAGATAAATCATGCAAATTTTAACTACAAGAAAAACCTTTGCTAAAAACCTGTTTCTCAAGCAAGTGAAGATGCATGGATTTTTGGCATTCTTACACAACTAACAAGGTGGAAGGCAGTCAAGGTCCAGATGCTTAGCCAGCTTTATCACAAAGAAAAGAAGGTGGAAGAGGTTACCTGAGGGTACAAATAAATTACTCCCAGTAAAAGAGAATATCAGAGTCTATGAGCAAGAAGAAAGCCTTGAAAGTACATTTTCAAGTTCCTCTTAAGTGTTGATGCAGGTTATTATGGTTTGCTCATAAATGAGACGTGAAGTGCAATGACAATTACTCTTTCCTGCCTTAGTGCTGACAGCCTAACTGCTGCCAGGGACAGGTCAGCTAGAAATTGGAATAAAACATTGGAGATGCATGACTCCTCTCTGAACCTGCTCTTCATCTGATATGTCCTCTTGGAGGAAGTCATCAATTCCCTTCTTCAGCAGACCTTGTTAAACCTGGATGAGCAATGTAAAGCCTGTAGGTGCAGATCTAAATGCCAGGCAGCCCTTGCATAACCAGCTCCACACCACACAACCCAGAGCACAGTGGCTTTCACTGGCACACAAGGAACACAAGGCCCAGATGAGAAAAGCACTACATTAGGTGTGCTGACCCCAA